GGTGGCTCAATTGCTTAAAGCATCATCCTATTATGGGTTCAATTCCTGGTCAGGCATACATGCAGGTTTTGGGTTCCTTCCATCCCTAGTCAGGGCAACTCTCTCTCTCTCTCTCTCTCTCTCTCTCTCTCTCTCTCTCTCTCTCCTTCTCCATGTGTCCCTCTCTCTACCGCTCCATGTGTCCATCCCTCAGCCTCTCCATCTGTCCCTCCTTCCACCTCTCCCCCATTCCCTCTGCCTCTCTCTCTCCCTCTCTCCCACTCCCTCTCTCTAAGCATGCCCTCAGGTTAGGATTTAAAAAGTGTGAAATTCCCAGGTTTCTTATCATGGCTCCATGCTCAGGCCTCCCCGGAAGAACAGGTTCTGCCAGACAGTTACACCTTCAACAGGTTCCACCAGACAGTTACACCTTCATTGCACTGCACTGATATTCTACCAAGCAGCCTGGGGGTAGCAGCCATCCAGGCTTCCCTAGGGCTTAATATGCAAACCCTTGGTTTGGTTGGGATAGAGATTCTCATATTATCTGCCCATTGCTCCTGACAAAATCATCTTCACAAGAAGCTGGAAACCATCAGATCTGAATTTCTAACCCAGGTCTCACTTAATGATGCATCCAGCAAATTCTTTTTTTTCCATTCATTTTCAGAGAGAGTGTGGTGGTGGTGGTGGGGCGGGGGGCAGGGAGACAGAGAAAGATAAACCTCGATGTGAGAGGGACACATCCATTGGTTGTCTTCTTCAGGAGCCCAGACAAGGGCCTGGGATAAAGCCTGCAACCAAGGAATCTACCCATGATCAGAATCGAACCCCGGAATCTTCAATGCTCCATCCACTGAGCCAAACCGGCTAGGGCCATCCAGCAAACGTTTTATGAGCTCTCAGTAGATGTGTGGCCCTGAGCCAGAAGGCTGGGTGCACAGATCACATCAGAGTCCCCACTATGAGGGACCTGACCCTCCAGACAACAGATCATGTGGCTTGAGGACTTCCTCCACGGGAATGGCTGTGTCCAAACAGGGTGAGCAAAACTAACACCTGGATTGTAGCAATTTTCTGATGAACATCATTTAGGGTTATTTGTTCAGAAGCATTTTAAAAATTAGAACAATATAGATAAATTTAATAGAAATCACTTGTTAAGTAGAACACACTGAAAAGCAAATTGCTGTCTCACCTTGGAGAGAGGTCACCCAACCTCCTTATACCTTTCCTGCCTGCCTATCCTTACCTGTCTTCTGTATGGGAGAGGGTTAACTTGATATACAGGCAGGTAGGGCAGGCTCCAGTGGAAAACAAAGGCAGGTGAAACATAGGCAGGGGCAGGCATGGCAGTTTGAGCAGCAGAACCACAGGAACCAACCCAGCAGAAACCATGAAATGTTTGTGGACTCAAAGCAGGAGGCATGGGAAACCAAGGGAGGGCCTGCAGTAACCAAGACGTATGAACACATAGAAACAGAAAAAGTTCAGCGTAGGAACAGAGAACGAACACATAGAAACAGGGAAAGTTCAGGGCCATTGCTGGGCAAAAACAATTCAGAGAATCAATCAGGTGACGACACAGATGGACATACAGATGGCTTCTTGCAAATACCAGTATATACCCCTGGACTGCAAGGCTTTACCGGGCAGACCACTATTGGGTCCCCCTCCCTTCGTGGGGAGTCTGAATCTGCTTGTAATAAATTTTCCTTAAATCTTCTGGTCCATGTAGCTCATTCTTTGGCGTCGCAAGACATAACCCCGGGAAAAACACCTTGGATCACCGATTCAGTCATCATATCTACAAAAAAAAAAAAAAAAAAAAATCCTAATCATATGCATATGCAAGCATAGACACTCATTATGTTTTAATTATGTCATAATATAATGCGAGACTACTATGTGGTGTGTTCTACAATTTCCTCTTTAAAAAAAATAACTACAAGAGCTCTAGCCAGTTTGGCTCAGTCAATAGCCCGTGGTTCTGCAGACCAAAGGGTCCGAGTTCAAATCCAATCAAGGCCACATACTTTGGTTGCAGGCTCTTCCCCAACCTGGGCCCTTGACTGGGCTCATGGAGGAGGAAACAATTGTTTCTCTCACATCAATCTTTCTCTCTGTCTTTCACTCTCTCTTACACTTTCCCTAAAATTTAATAGAAAAAAATTATTGGGTAAGGATTAAAAAATTAAATAATTAATAAGCATTTACTTGAGTCCAAAATGATGACCATTGCTGGGAAGCAAGATATCAAATGCTCCCTACAATTTGCTATTTACAAAAAATATATCTACAGGTTTTGTTTTTGTGTTTCACACTCACATGCAGGTATATTTCAGGTATTGCTTGAAACCCACTCCTTAGATGCGCTTGTGATGTTGATGGTGTGTTCTCTGGTCACTACCTCCTCGATGGCAGAAAGGCCCTTCTTCTCTCCACCTTCTTTGCGGGAGCCACTATGCCAGGCCCAAGTTGGAAAGGAAGCAAAGATTTTACCTTTATTATTATTTTAATATATTTGTATTGATTTCAGAGAGGAAGTAAGAGGGAGATAGAAACATCCATGAGATAGAATCATTGATCAGCTGCCTCCTGCACGACCCCTACTGGTGATTGGGCCTGCAACCAGGGTATGTGCCCTTGACCTGAATGAAACCTGGATCCCTTCATTCCGCAGGCTGATGCTCTATCCGCTAAGTTAGGGCAAGATTTTACTTTTCATTTTAGTTTGCTCCTCAGCCAAATGGGATTAAAGGGTGTTGAAGTATTCAAGGGAGGATTATAAAGGTGCAAATTAGATTATGCATGTTAACAAGGTTAGTCCCTCCTAGCTTTCAGGAATAAGAGGAGATCCCATCAATCAGACTTCTAAAGATCCTCCTATTACCACCCTTGCCCACAAGTCCCACCTGCAGGGAGGAGCTTTGGTGGGTGAGGTCTTAAAGAGATTCACCCTCCTAGTGGTATATATAGGCCAGGCTCACATTACTAAGCATTTAACTTGGAGGAGACTGGCTTCGGAGACTCTTCTTGGAGACACACTTCAGGGACTCACTCAAAGGAGCAGGCCCCAGGTAAGCTGGGAGTGGGGATGATGCTGGTGCAGGAGGTGGGACCAAACTGAGTCACCCTTGGCTTTCTGGGGGCTACTCTAGCAGGGCCTTGACTTTACCTCACAAGCCAATCATCACTTGGATCAGGTTATTTTAAGACACATGCTTTTATTATTTCTGGTGTCCCTCAGTTAGCCTTGCCCTAGGTCATCTAAATGCTTGCTAAATATACAGATACTAGGATCCAAATCTGACCTATGGGGTTACGAATATTTGCATATGCAAAGTGCCCTGAAGTACTAGTCTGAAGCTGCCTGTGCGAATCCTCTTCCAGAATGTCTCAGTGTCTGGTGTCAAATTCAATTGTTAAAACCAGAGTTTCCAAGAGGTTTACCTAAATAGCTGTGTATGCTGACACCAAACTGAAAAAGAAGCTGAGTGTTATTTTCCTTTTTCCATGTGTCTCTGAATAAACAAGAATCAAAAATCCCATCCCCCGGCCCTAGCTGGTTTGGTCCAGTGGTTAGAGTGTCTGTCTGAGGACAGAAGGGTCCCAAGTTTGATTCAGGCCAGGAGCACATGTCCAGGTTGTGGGCTCAATCTCCAGTAGAGGGCGTGAAGGAGGCAACCAACCAATGATTATCTCTCATCATTGATGTTTCCATCTCTCTCTCCCTTTCCCTTCCTCTCTGAAATTAATAAAAATATATTTTAAAAGAAGAAAGAAAGTCATAGTCCAGCAGTGAAGCAATCACATGCTAGAACTTCCGGGCCAATTAGAAGTATTATGAACACTTGCATTGGTCCACCTCATTTATCACAAGCCTCAAAATGCACAGTCCTAAAAAAGGTGGCCTCCCTGTGCACACACATAATATTTCAAAAGGAGAGGGTGATATGAAGGAGGCCGAGGCTTGATCACCAAAACTCAGCACAGTGAAAACCAACAATAATGAATAATGGGCACTAGAATTCAAATTACCAGAGGTTTTAAAGAGATGGGGGTGTCACTTTTCAATTCCATTTTGAACACCACATTACAAAAGAAGTATTTTTAACAATAAGAAAGGATTGAAGAGAAAGAAAAAAAAGGGATATTTAAACCATTGAATGACGCGCTGTTGTTCCTGATAAACTTCACTCACATCTTCCTCCTCCATTCCCAGTTCTCTTGGAGTGTGATTATCAGCATTTCTCTGACCCTCCAGGAGAAACCTGAGCCAGTTCATTGGAACTCCCCGTCTTAGCATGATTCCTTGGGTTTCTTGAGATGTGTTGTCATTTCCACTTTAAAGTGAATCTCACTGCTGTCCTGTCCAATGACTGAGTTGAATGTACCCTCCTTCCTTCTTATTCCCCAAGTCCTCTGTTGAGGGTTTTGCTTCCTGGTCACACATGTGCTTGGTGCTTCACCTCTGGTCTCCTCAAAGAAGCAGCCTCTGGTAGGCAGGACCTCACTCCTGGGCTTACAAATCCTTCTCTCTTCCCCACAGCTCAAGATCACATTTTTGTGATGTGTGAGAACAATAATAAATTTGCCTAGATTTTCTAATTCGTTTTAAGTTGCAAAACAGACTTTACTTCTAACTCCTCCTGAAATATTATGATGATAAATGATTTGGTCTACCTGACATATTATTTATACAGGGAGGGAAGGGTTAATGCTGATTGAATTTTAAATGGTGATATATTTTTGTCCACAGAAACCACTTATGAATTGGGTGGTGCTTGGATTTTGACCAGAGTCACAGCTGATCTTCACTTGGGGAACCTGACATTAGATACAGGAGAAGGTGACAGAAAGACTAGACATCAGCTGGCCACTGGAACTCTTCTTGGAAGCTCCTACTGAGTTGCACAGAGAGGGAGGCCTGAGCAGACCTCAGCTTCTCACTTCTCCTCGCTCCTGGAGGATCACACTGACTGAAGGGAGTCTCTTCTGATAGACACCGTCACTGCACCATGGCCTTTGCTGCTTCCCTGGCCGAGCTCCAAGCAGAGGCCAGCTGTCCCATCTGCCTGGATTACCTGAGAGACCCAGTGACCATTGCCTGTGGGCACAACTTCTGTCCCTTCTGCATCCACCAGCGCTGGGAAGGTCTACAGGGCACCTTTCCCTGTCCTGTCTGCCTCCACCACTGCCCTGACAGGAGCTTGGAGAGGAACACCCAATTATGTCACATTACTGAGATTGTTCAGCAGATCCCCACCTCAGGGAGCCAGAGGAAATTGCAAGAAGACATACCCCTGTGTGGGAAGCACCATGAGGTTCTCACCCTGTTCTGTGAGAAGGACCTGGAGCTGTTGTGTGCCCAGTGCAAGGGCTCCTTAGACCCCCAGGATCAGCCCCTGATCCCCATTGAGGAAGCTGCAGCTAGTCAGAGAGGGATGCTCAAAAGGTATATGGCAACCCTCCCTAGTCACTTCGAAAATGTTGAAAAGGCATATGACAGCCAAGTTGCAAATACTTGTAAAGTGAAGGAAAAGATGGGAAAATGGAGGGAGGAATTTGACTATGAATGTAAAGAACTTAACTCTTTCTTGGAAATAGAGTTCGATGAAATTGATAACCATCTGCTTAGAGAAGAGAATGATGTTGCAGAAAAACTAATTGAAAATGGAAAGCAAATTTCATACCATATGTTCAGGCTAAACATTCTGTTAAGTGAAATAGAAGAGAAGTGTTTGCAGACACACCTGGGTTTACTCACAGGTATTGAAAGGATCCACAACAGCTATGGAAACCTAGAGACCCCAGCAGTGTTTTCATGTGAATTACCGAAGGAGATTTTCACTCTCCCCCCACACTACTTGGGCCTGCATAAAATGATCCGTATATTTCAGGTAGATTTGACACTGGATCCTGAAACTGCCCATCTAAGTCTCATTATCTCAAGAGATAGAAAAAGTGTGACATATTGTACAGCAGATGGTCTTCCTAATCCCCAGGCACTTACTTCTTACGCAGCTGTCCTGAGTTCTGAGGGATTTGATGCTGGCAGGCATTTTTGGGTGGTAAACATAGGAGGCACAGGTTTATATTACTTAGGTGTGTGTAAAGCATCTTTCCCCAGAAATACTTTCATATCACCATCAGCAAGCAACGGATGCTGGCAACATCAGCTCTGTAATCATACTGGACAACGGAAAATTGGCGTTTTTCTGGACTATGAGTTGGGAGAGGTTTCATTTTATAATTTGAATAACTGGACATACATGTTTAGAATCGCTGATACATTTACAGAAAAAATTATTCCTTATTTCTCCATTGCATCTTCTTCAGAATCTCTTTCAATCAGTATCAGCAGAGTCTACGATGACAATTTGTATGAAATTTTGTATGTGCTTATTTCCTCCCATGTTATTTAAAGGAAAACGTAATAAAGATCCCGATTCCAGCTTTGATGTTTGAATATTAAACACTTTTAGGATGCATTCTTCTCTCCTTCCTGACCTTACACATCTGGGAATGCCTATGAGAAAGTCCAGGTGCTCCATCCTTGGGTGCAGAGGGGAAGTTTCAATCAAGCAAGTTTCCATTAGTGTCAACAGTCTCCCATCAAAAGCACACAGTAACTACCATCAACACAAGCTAGTCACTTTTCTCTGTGCTCTCTGTCATTTTGTTTCCTACTCTAATATGTACCCTACTCTCTCCCTAAAACCTCATGATATGAGTAATAAACTTTTTCATACTCTTCTGGTATGTGGTGAATCATCAGGGAACATTTGAAACCAATTTTGGGTTCCTTCCACCTTGACCATGGAAACTGGTCACCACCATTGACATTGTCAGCAGGATTTTCCAGATAGGAAGGCCCCCCTCCCCCACGACTTTCTCCTCCAGCTTTGTGTGGTAACACACCCTGGTTCCCTAGGCAAGGGTGTCCTTGCAGTTTGTGCTGCATTTGCTGAGTTCTATGGAGGCTGTGTAGACTTCACTGATCTAAGTCAGGAATTAGGTAAACACATTCTAGCCCAGCCTGCCTTGCTCAGTGGTTGAGCATCAACATATAAACCAGGAGTCATGGTTCAAGTCATCAAAGCACATGCCCTGGTTGCTGGCTCAATTCCCAGTAGGGCGTATGCAGGAGGCAGCCAATGGATGATTCTCTCTCAACATAGATGTTTCTCGTTCCCGCTTCCTTTTTGAAATCAATAAAATATATCATTAAAAGAAGCACATATTTATTTTTTATTTTCCATATAATTTGGGGGCATTTTAATTGTCTTATCTATCTATAGATAGATAAGGCTAATATGCAAATTGTCCCCACGGGAGTTTGACCAGGAGTTCAATCACTTGTTATCACATGCACTGATTACCGGGAGGCGGCTGGGAATGAAGGAAGGCCCCGGGGGGCAGCCAGCAGCCAGGGAAGGGATTCCCTGGCCAGCAGCTTGAAGGATGGCCCCAGGAGGCCTCAATCAGCCCATATTGCCGGCCAGGGCCTAGGGACCCTACCGTGCACAAATTCTGTGCACCAGGCCTCTAGTGTTTTATAAAATTTTCATGAACAGGGCTGAGCAAAAGCAAGTTGATAGTAGTGATACAAATATGTATAGCAATTAATAACAAACAACACAAAAATAAACTTGCATATTAACCACTGTAAACATGCTTTTGTTTTAAATCCTCACCTGGTGATAAATTTATTGATTTATAGAGAGAGGAAGGGACAGAGAGAGGGGAAAAGGTCAATCAGTTGCTTCCTATACTTGCCCTGACTGGGGATTGCACCTGATACCCAAGTGCCCTGAATGGGAATCAAGTCTGCTAGTTTTTTGGTGTAGGAGACCACATTCCAACAAACTGAGCCACCCGGCCAGGGCTGTAAACCTGCCTTTGACAACCACTGTATGACCTCCAAAGGTCACAGTCGTTTTTGACATTATGTGAAATTGCCAACCTTTGAGAACATGCTTCTGTTTGTATGCCTTATATGTGTATTGTTTACAATATTTGGAAATAAAGTTTTACTCTGCATATCTCTGTACTGTTCGTCTATCTCCATATCTTGAAAAGATGCTCAGCAGAGCTTTCATTGAGGTATAATGGACCACTGCACTGACCAGAGTAGCCCTGCTATGCTGTGGTCATCTCAAGTGCTTACTCTTGTAAAGTGCAATGTAGGCCAACAGGCACTGCTCCATTACCCACCCAGGGATCTAACTCCCCCAGTCACTACAACTAGAGAAAGAGGAAGCATTGAAGGACAACACCAGAAAGAGACACACACTTTCCTCTCATTCCATTTTCTAAAGTAGCCCTAGACAGTTTCGTTCAATGGATATAAGAGCGTCAGCCTATGGACTGAAGGGTCCGGAATTCTATTCTGGTTAAAGGCACATGCCTGGATTGTGGGTTCAATCCCCCATAGGGGGCATGCAGGAGGCAGCTGATCAACTACTCTCTCTCATCATTGATGTTTCTACCTCTCCCTCTTTTTTCCTCTCTGAAATCAATAAAAATATATTTTTAAATAAATAAAAGTCATTGCAAGGCCCTACTTCTCTGCAAGGGGTGAAGAAGAATGCATGTATTGTGAGGTGAAAAGCTACTGTTTACCATAATTCCTGAATGCAATTAGACATTAATGTACATTCATGATGAGTGGGAGATGAAAAGTCAGTAAAACTTGTAAATAGATTAACATAGACATTTACATTAGTTTGACTTAATCCTATAACAGTTGTTGATAATTTCTCCCAATAAAGAAGACATTTAAAAAAAAAAAAAAAGACACAAAAATCGTGCACCTATGAATGAGGACAGTGGAGGGGGGCGGAGTGAGGGCAGAGAGTGGGAGGGGAACCGGGTGGAGGGGAGCTATGGGGGAAAAAAGAGGAACAACTGTAATAATCTGAACAATAAAGATTTAATTTAAAAAAGGAAAAAAAAAGGACATTTAATTTAAGTAAAATAAACCTGAAAACATTTGTTATTTGGTAGCAATGTAAAGCTCTGTTATCTTGAAATTTTGATGATTCATTAGAAAACAAATCATTGAGACTCACGTTTAAATACAAAAGGATGAATGAGGTGCCTGGGAACAGGTGGAGAGGTCTGGCTGGCTGGAACTTTGGTCTCAAGAGTCCGGCAATGGCTGGGGGTGGCAGGCTAGAGGATGTGAGTGCTCCAACCCGCAGCACGTGGTTGTAGGAGAACGCACCAGGGTAGGGTGGGGTCCGCGACACGCCAGCTTCCGCGTTATTTTCCAGGGTCCAGTCAGTATGGGCTGCTGGGCGGTGGCTGCGCGGGTGCCAGTCCCAGGCAGGTGCCCAGTTCACGTACGCATCTGCTCCAGGAACTGACAGCTTCATGTGATGCGCTTGGCCTCACTGCCCTGGCTCCGGACGGGAATCTCCCCTCCTTGCAGGTCCCCTGCCTTGGCTCTGAAGGGCTGTGGACCTGGCGAGGCTGCAACTGGAAGGCCAGCAGCCAGGGTCCCAGGGGCAGACCTGTGGCCATCATCACCAGGAAACCGACTTTGGAGAAAAACAATGGGCTGTTTTGAATTTAGGTAGGAATGGAAGGATGTTTGAGTCTTTTTAAAATGGATCCAAACTAGATTACTACAAACAGTGCCCTATTTTACAGTGTACGGAGTGATAGCATAATTGTAAAAAAAATCTTTTCTTAAGTATATTAAAACATTTTTGAGGGGAAAATATTTGTGCCCAGAATTAACTGAGTTATCCCAATCAAGGAGGCCACCCCAGATCTGGATCCTGCCCCAGGTTACTGAATTGTCTATATAATCCTATCGCTCACACACCACCCTCCACCCTGTCCGAAGTAAAAAGCCCTTATCTTCTGTTTCCTAACCCTATTCTAGAGCTTCCCTTTGGCCAATTAAGGATTCATTTCCCTCTCATTCTAGGATACCTAGTTAACCTAAATTTCTTGCATTAACTGTGATAGTCATTTGCTAATTTATTATTACCTCTCTCTATATTATCCCCTGCACTATAGTCTACTATATGCTGTTTACTTCTCCATGCCTTTATCCTTAACCTCCCCAATGAAAATGTGATCTCCTTTTGGACTGTGTCTTAAGTTCTTTTGTCTTGGGAAAAGTGCCTGATATATAAGTTTTCCCTAAGAATCTTGTTTTAAAAAATATTTTTATTGATTTCAGAGAGGAAGGGACAGGGAGAGAGAGATAGAAACATCAATGATGAGAGAGGATTGTTGATTGGCTGCCTCCTGCACACCCACACTGGGGATCGAGCTTGCAACCCCTGCAACCCAGGCATGTGCCTGACCAGGAATTGAACCCTGACCTCTGGTTCATAGGTCAACACTCAACCACTGAGCCACACTGGCTGGGCTTCCCTAAGAATCTGAAATTGAGAGATTGTTGTATAAACCAGAGACTAGAAAGAACTGTCCTGTCAAAATAACACCGTTAAACATGACTCACTTGATTTTTAAGTAGCAATTGAATTTTTGCCAACTACTTCAGTGACATTGAAATAGTTGTTCTCATTAAGAATCTGACATCTACACTAAAGTCTCCTCAAAGGTTTGTCCGGGTGCTCTGTTTCTATTAGTGCCCTAAAATATTTCTATCATAGCTGAAAATTTGTTTTAAGACCTTTTAACAAAGCCTCCGCCACCTCTCCAGAATGTTTCGGAGCACAGAGACATAGTTGAAGAATTGCAACCATATTTAATTATTTCATCAATAATATCAATAATGTTAAATAAATAAATCAATATCTAAGTTTTGAGGGCTTAAAAAAAAGTATTTGCTTTAGTTTCATTATGTATTATGTTGTTTGAAGAGAAATGAATTAAGATGTCCTCTACCTTTTTTAATACTTGTCGTTTTCACCGGTTTCTATACATAAGTTATCTAGAGGCTTATGGTATATTGACAAAATTGGCTTTAGGTAGGAAGTATGTTTTTTTGCCTCTCACTTGTATAATGCTTTCTACAGCTTTATAGTTTAGTAAATTGTTCTTAAAAACATAATCCAGAAAGTGGTCATATAACTTGCTTCCTTTTTTCAAAACCCCAAAGTTCCTGAAATCCATGCAAGAGAGCTAAAGATGACCCTCCTCTAGACACCCAGCTTCTTTCACATTATTCCTTACATACTTACTTTATTTTATTTATTTTATAATTCTTTACTAAGGGCCCGGTGCATGAAATTTGTGCACTGGGGGAGGTCCCTCAGCCCAGCCTGCCCCCTCTCACATACTGGGAGCCCTCAGGGGATGTCCTACTGATGGCTTAGACCTGCTCCCTGCTCCCCTTGGGGAGAGGGCAGCTTCAGTTTGGCCTCCCTTTGTGGGAGGCAACCAGGCTGATCAGGGGAAGGCACCAGCCCCATCACCCTGCTGCTGCAGCCACTGCCAG